CTCTCTCTCTCTGTGTGTGTGTGTGTGTGTGCGTGTGTGTGTGTGTCTCTTCCCACCCCACAGCCCCCGTTTGTTCTCAGTATGTCAATTTAAGAATTGTACTGTTTAAATTGTTGTTATAAAACAAGAGGATTGATGGAGAAGAACGAAAATAATAATAATAATAATAATGATGATAATAATAAAAAAAATACAATTTATATATGTCGTCAAACAGAGCTGCCCAGTAAACCGTAGGCAGAGAGGGAGAAGAGGACAACAAACGAGGAACTGTGACAAACTGTTTCGTCGGAATTTCACCGACTCATCAGCAGGCTGAACCATATGGTTCATTCATGTGAACTACAACTGCTGCATGCTTAGTTTTCAGTTTTAGAACACCAGCCACTGAGCCAATCTATTTACACTACCAGTGGGAAAGTTTTGGCACCAGACGCAAGGGTGGTCGACAGCTTGACAGAGAAAAACAGTCACTGTGAGGTCAACATTAAACCACTACTACCTGCGAGACCCAGCATAATAGCATCTTCTGGCAGTCTGGGAGGGAGAAAGCAACGCCTATTGTCCCCGCCGTGTGGGAAAAGGTCCTCCCCGAAGGTACTTGATTACTATATAGTACACTAAGTTGGCTTAGCCTGTTGGTGGTCATGTTTTAGTGTTATGGTTTTGTTGGGCGGATAAAGTTTTCCTGGTTTTCAGTTTTCTTTTTTCGGAAAACATTTTCCTTGTCTTCCACTCATGAAGATTATGGTCTTATAAGGTAATACTGCGTCTACAGGCAACACTACAGAGGTAGTGTGAGTGCAGCCGTCGGCTATGTTGCACGCCCGGCCGTGGCCGGGGGGGTCAATTCGGCCGCGCCCTCGGCCGTCGGCCAAATCGGCCTGGTTCGGCCACGGCCGACCAGCCGAGTTCGGTGCAACAATTTGTTTTTCGATTTTTCACGTCGGAAAAAAAAAATAAAAAATGGGTGTGTAGGGCTGAAAAAACCCTACACGCCCATATCTTTTTTTCGTGTCCGACGTTCCGCGCCCGCGGAAAAAAAAAAAACGGAACCAAAAAAAAAAAGGCCCGCGGGGCCGTTTCGACCCTGTTTCAGTGCCACTGGGTGGGGGCACTGTGTGGGCACTGGGTGTGGGGGGCGGTGGGTCCAGGCCCGGGCCACGGCAAATCTGTTGCCGTTTCATATAAATGCTGCCATTTATTTGAAACGGCAACAGTTCTTGCTGTTGCCGTTAGGCTGCCGCCCTGCCTGCTCGCACGGTCAGGGAGAGTGAGCGAGAGAGAGAGAGAGAGAGAGAGAGAGAGAGAGAGAGAGAGAGAGAGAG